TCCCTGCTCATGGCAGGGAGGTTGGAACCAGATGATCTTTAAGGTCGCTTCCAACCCAAGCCATTCTATGATTCTGTAGAACTGAGGAACCACTTATTTTTTTTCTATTAGCATCGACTTGTTTCTGCCCTATGAAAATGTAAAGCAAAAGCTTGAAAGAGCAGATGCCTGGCTTTGTTCTCTGAAGATCACAGGAGTGGAGGATGCCTGACTTGCTGGTGAAGGACCTTTGCCTGAGAGTGCTGTAAGGCCTAAGCAGTGCGCGTGCAGAGCAGGAGTGCTGCTGCGCTGTTCTGTTTTCAGGTGGTAGTATCTCTGTCTGTCCATGCTCTGACCGACTGTTTTGCAGGCATCCCTGAAACCAGATGAGCTTTTATCTTGGCGCAGGCTTCATAGGCGACCCTGTACCAAGTGGGCTGTTGTGGAGTCCAGCGTATGCTCGACATCCTCAGCGTGCATCAGAGAGAGCCTTGCAAACTTGGACCACGCTGTGCCCTTGGGAGGGCTGAGGATCTCTGCCCAACTCAAGTGCAAGGAGCTGTGTCCTTTCCCATACTTGTTGCAGCTTCTCTGGGCTTTCTTCTCGCCCTTAGCAAGCCTCCTCCAGATCTTTGGGTCTCGGCTGCAGGGCCCTTTGTCTGGACTCCTGGCTCCTGACAGGCAGTGACAGGGCCAGGTTTTGGGTCCAAGGGGAAGAGAAGGACAAAGGCAACATCCAACTGCTTAGGCGAGGTGCTTATACACGCCAGTAGTTTTATCATCAGTGGGATCAGGCGGCAGCCTGACAGCCCTGGAGTCTATAATAGAGCCTCTTGCCCTATTCCTTGGTGATGTTAATGTGCTGATCTCCTAATGCTTCTCACAGGGCCTTGCATTTTGGCACTGCTCCCTGTAGTTACAAAGGAGAAGTCTAGCAAACAACCCAATGTTCAGCTAGGATTGTCTTTCAGATTGCTATGGATGCTGCTAATGTTGCATCATCAATGCTGCCAGTAAGAGTTATGGTAGACAGAGCTGACATAACTCGTCTCTTCTGGATTGTCAGAACAAATGTTGCTGAGGGCCTCACTCCCAGACAGCAGCGGTACACATGAGGTCCTACATTTGTTTCAAATATTGCGGGCTACTCCAAAAAGAGAGCATTCCAAGTCATTTGCCATCAGATGTCTAAGGTTTTCAATCATCAGACTGTCCCCCTTGGTAGCTACACTTGACAAGGGACAGAACCATGAGCAGGTTAGTCTCTTTGTGGCGCTACATATTCCTAAGATATTGGCCATGCTGGTTGTGTGTCTACAGAGGAATGAGGTTCCCTTGGTTCCTTAGTTGGAAGGAATCTCAAATAAGTGGTTTCGCTGCATTATTTTGACCATTACAGATCTTTTCAACATATGTGGTCTCTTGGTAAAGCTCTGGAAGTCCGCTGAGCTGAAGCAGACTTGGTCACCAGAGTTTGCTGGTGTTGAATTGAACTCTGTTGACTGGATTTTACCTTAGCTGGATTCTTTTGCCTGGAGCGAGACTGGTCCTGTGCTGCTTGTGCTGTTAAACCTGTCTATCCCAGGGTCTACTAGCATTTTTAACTGGGTAATGATTTGTGCTGTATCTTGCTGTGGAGCTGCCCTTGCTAGCTGCAGAGCTCAAGCTCTGCTGGTGACCTCCAGAAACATCTGTGTTCCTTGAAGACTGCAGAGGGCCTGTCAGTAACTGCAGTTTTGAGATACGTGGTCCTTAAGTACCTTTACATCCCTTCCTGTCATGGCCCAGAGAGTCCACCATCCAGATCTGCACGAGAGGCGCTGGTACTGCGGGAGGAGCACTGCCCTGTCAATGCGAGGTGGAGCAGCCTGGTGTTCTATAGGTAACTGCTGCAGCAAAGTGATCTCCAGCCATGAGCACTTGTGGCACATGGTTGCTCAGAGTTAAAATAGGCAACCTGTCTACATACTCACAAATATCATCCTCATGATATCAACCCGTAACTCCTGAGGTTAGTGGTGTACAAGAGGCAGGGTTTTGTTTTGGGTTTTTTTCAGAAGGAGATCTTTTGCTATGGGCTTGTCAGTCTCTTTTGGATCTTCATTTATGTTTGAAAACACTGGCTGCTCCCCCAGCCCCACTAGTGTCATGTAGAGTGGTAGCAACAAAAGACTGTGTAGGTACATGGGGCTAAGCAAAAGTATTCAGGGGACTATCTTGTCTTCTGTGTAACACAGATTTTTTTTTTTTTGTTGAAAATCAGGGCTGACTAACTAGTTGATTACTGATACAGATATGAGAATTTTTCCTGCTTTGTTTTAAATTTTAGCTCATATAATCTGAAGAAGGAAGGGAAACTTTGTGTATAGCAGAGATCATGGTGTGAAATGGACAAGGCAGTGCTGTTCTGCGCTTAAAAACCAGCGGATTAATTACTTGAGATTGCCTTACATAGTTTTCCATGCTCTGTTCTGAACACCAGTCAGTATTCATTCAGTGTTTAAAATCCCCACAACTGCTAGGGGAAGGGATGAGGGAATCCAAAATCCCCCTCTTAACTGAAGCTCCATAGAAGAGTTGACTATGGAGGGACTTCAGTCTGAAATTGAATATTTAAGGAATATTGAATTTTAGGAATAACACAGTAACAACACATTGTGTCCCTTCACTATGACAATTCAGAATAAGATCACATGGGAGGTCGTATTCCCCCACGTGGTGGGAGTATGTGTGACCCGCTGCAACTGACTGTAACAGGAGCTTGTTAAGGTCGGGAGACGTCCTTTATGTTAAAGTAAATGTCAAGGTTATTTTTTTGCCTTTCTGGTATCAGGAAACCTGGAAAGGTGTGAATCCATGCAGCTCTTCTGCAAGTGTACTTGAAACCAGCTGTACAAAGGAAACTGTTTTAAATGGGAGCAACTTTCTCCAAAATCCTAATGGTGTTTTGCTTCTTGCTGACAAAGTAGACTGCCTAGGTCATGCCAAGGGCAATAACAGCTTTCATACTGTCAGACTGAGAATGTTTTCTGTTAATCCAATTATGCATTTTTAGATGTCTTGGAGGGTTGGCAAAAGCAGCTGTTAAAGAGAAATGAAAATCCATTCCTTAAAACTTTTCATTGCAGTTAAAGGAATAAGGTGTTGCTATAATGACTGGAACGACTAGAAAAACTGTGAGAAGAATAATAGCTGTTTTCTGCTTCTGGTGAGCTGATGTTGTAGAAACTGTATGAGGCCAGTTTTCTGTGTATATGCAGATACAGTTGGTTGATGGTGTGCTGCTGGGGCAAAGCATGGTTTGGGAGGATTTTGAGAAACTGTTCAGAAATCAGTCCTGATGTGTTTCATGACTTGTGAGTTACAATTCCTGTGATGCACACAAGCACAAATGACCTTACAAAGAGGCTAGAAACCCTTATCTTCTTACATGCTGCTGAAATACACAGTATATTGAAATGTTACAGTGGAAAGCGAGCTAGACAGCCTCACAGAATTTTTCTGGAAAGCTGGAAGACTGAGAGTGCTTTTCTTAATAGCCTCACTAAGTTCAGGGGATGTTCAGTAGGCTTTGTCGCGTAAAAAGATAGTAGCGAGAAGTTCTTATCTCTTGACAGTTTTTACATGACATGTGCCTGCAACGTACTACAATACTTAGTAGTATCCACTGTTGCTCAGTGTAACAGTGCTTGAGTAAGGAAGGTTTCTGACTTGACTATTTTTAAATTTATCAAAATCTCAGACCGTTCTGCGTATGTCTTTTCTATAGATTCATTCCCCTCTAAACATGAGCAACTATTAATCAAGTATCTTGTTCCTTCTGTTGCAGGTGTGGACATTGTCAGCGCCTCCAGCCAACTTGGAATGATTTGGGAGATAAATACAACAACATGGAAAACCCACAGGTCTATGTTGTTAAAGTGGATTGTACTACAGATACTCCACTGTGCTCTGAATTTGGCGTCCGAGGATACCCTACGTAAGTGTAGAAGGACGCCTGCTCCTGTTTCTTTCTTTTCAGTTTTCCATGTTCCTCTACCAATTTGTTGAAGCTAAATTCTAACCTATGTTTTTTGGTGGGTTTCTTTGTAGCCCTTTGGACTTCATAGGTTCTTTTTAAGCCTTTTTACCATGGTGGGAAGTATCATGTGATACATACTACTCTTACTGTTTTATTTTTTAAAGAAACTGATGTTTTGGAAGATGGCTATGTTCATTAAACGAAGTGCAGAACTGTCCTTTTGTTTTCTCTGAGAGTACCTCTTTCTGAAGCAACAGTACATTGTTCAGCCATGATATGCATGATAGAGCTAGTCTCTGAAAATGGTAGTTTTAAAAATAACTTGTCAGAAGTTCATCAGTACTCTGCACCATTCATAATTAATGTATAGGTGATCTCTTAAGTTTTGGAGTGAAGTTGGTGCTCGTAAAATGGTAAATTAGTAGTATCACATAGCAGTGGTGGTGTTTTACAGAGTTTTTCTAGGTGATATTGCTTATATTGATCTGGGAGAAATTGATCTGGAGTTTATAAAGTTGTTAAACTTGTGCTGTTACAAAGGATGTATGCCTTACTGCCTCAGCTTTGGTAGGCAGACCGTTATCTAAAGCATCTATAGACTGTCTGCCTGCTTTTGGGTTAGATACATGTGCTCGCTTTTTAGCTGCCAGAAAGGAGCAAAGGGATTTTTTTTTTAATTTGTGTCTTCTTTAAAGCTTCTTGCAAAAATGGATGGGATTGTTCCACTGCCTTACTAATTACTTACCTTAGTGGGGACAAGTAGCAAATGTCATCTTCTGGAGGCCTTCCACAGCCTGTATTTTTCAGTTTCTGTCCCTTTGCTCAATTTGTCTAATATTACTGCGGACCCCAGCAACAGCCTGAACTTGACATATGCTCCTGGCTGTGCCCACTTTGGTGCAGATGAGTGCAACTGAGTAGAAGTTGAGAGTTATAAATAGCAAAGTCCATGTTGAAATAGGAATTGTCCTTAAGGGCAGTTTGTGGCTTAGTTCCACTAGAAATACCAAGAAACAATTAATATTCCAACTTTTTCTTAATACCGCCAAAAGCATTGGTCATCTTTCCACATTTGAATAGATTATATTGTGGTGCTGTTCCTTTTAAGATAGAAAGAGTGGCAGAGATTTTGAATAAGAAAAAGATGAATGGATGTGTAATTGTGTTTTTTTACTCCTTCCCTTCTTTAAGGTCATTGAATATCGCGGAATAGTTAGTGCTCGCTTTCATCTACTTGAAAAGTACAAATGATAAGGCAGTCACCTGCTAGTTATAGAAATACAGAGATGGAGGGGAATTCATTAAATATGATCTCTTCCTGTCTGGGTCAGTTTTTAACTAGCCTGTTTTTAAAAACTTCCAGCAAGGGAAATTTCACAGCTTCCTCAGGCACAGAGGGATTGTTGCAAGTCCGGGATGTGCTGCTCCCTGCACTGCTTTTCCAAACGCCGGGCAAAGGAAAGGCTACGTCCCCTTTCCATCCCCCTGAGGGTCAAACTGGCTGAGCACATTCCTGCGCTCGTTAGTACAGTTGTCTCAGGATTATTTTGTGCTGCAGAATACTCTCAACTGAACTAAAGAAAACTTACCCTCGTGAAGAAAATAAAGGTGCAGCTGGCTCTCTAAGTTCATCTTTTTTTTCTTGTTACTCTTCAAAAGTATTGCTATGAGGTGTATTTTAGATGTTCTTTGGTTTAATTTTTGTTGTTTCCTTCTTATTACAAAGTTGCTTTTTTTTTTTCCCTTCAAAAAAATTCTGGCCTTTTATTCACAAACACCTTAAATAGAAAGGGCAGTGGGAGCTCCTATCTCTTTTGAATGTATTTGCGTTATGTAGGTTTTTGACACTTTCATATGTTACTTTTTTTCAACTGTGGGACAAGAAGCGAGAGAAAAACATTTCAAGAAAAAGCAGTACAAAATCACAACTTGGCAAGGGGAACTGAGGGCTAGATGACAGTAGTAATTGAAACGATGATTTGCTTTAAAAAATAAGACTAGGTCAGAAGTTGATACTGCCCCTTCAGCAAATATATTTCCAATTTTAACATAAGTATTTAATAGTAGAAGCTTTAGGCAGTTTATGGAAAAGTTTTAGTAGTAATTATTAAATGTTATAATCACGAAGCCTTGAATCCCTACAAGCAGTTGCTTATTTTCTTGTCCTATTGAATTATTTCAGCATATTTTTAGTCATTTTAATACCACATGAGAAGTCCTACATTCTGAGAGCCGTCGGGGAACGAAACATGAGAAAGAAATTCCTGGGAAAATAAGCATTGGGTGGTTTTCCTTTGGTGATGGAGAGGGCTGAACAAAACAAAATTGATGCTTATTGACAAGCTGAAACAGGATTCATAGGCATAATGAATGAATAACCTTAGAACTGAATACTGCAATGTTTTATTTGCTCTTGCTTATTGATCAAAGTAATATTAGGCTATGTTGATTGTTAACAAGGTTTTGTGGGTGTTTTTTTGCTATTTTAAAAATCTCCTTTAAAAGCATGTGTGGGAATGAAAAAGTGTCCCAAGTTCTAGCCATGACCCTTTGAGTTGAGGGAGATGCCTGATGCCAATGTTAATAGTCAAGAGAGCTGTTACTGCAGCCTGAGCTGCATTACTGTGCGTTAGCAAAACGTGTTAGCTTTCTGGGAATGTTTCCTGTGTGAAAATTTTTGCCTCACTCTTTTCTGCTTTTTGATCCTTTAGCCTAAAGCTACTTAAACCAGGACAGGAACCTCTGAAATACCAAGGCCCTAGGGACTTCCAGGCACTGGAAAAATGGATGTTAGAGAACCTAAATGAGGAACCATCTGTAAGTGAAAAAGAAATAAGATCAGGAAATATTTCCTTCTACAGACTCACTTATCTGTCGTTTCTGTTGGTTAGGTTTCATTTTCCAGGAGGAAGTCTGCTCCCAAGAGTAAAAGTCAGGTGGCAATAAAAAAATGGAACAGCTTCCACATAAGTCAGAATAGTAATTAAAACCATCATCCTGTAACCTGCCCTTTGTTTCCTGTACTGAAGACTACACTACCTAATGCAGTTTCTAACGTTTAGCATTTTGACATTTTAAGATAGAGTTCTTAGTGTCAATTCAGTCGACACCTGTAGGCCATAAAATTTCTAGAATAAGAAAAGCGATTTAGCTCTAATGCATTATTAAAATGCATTTGTGTTAGGTTTAATTACCTCTTAAAACATGGATGCAATCTTTAGCTCAGCTATTATCTAATAATGTTGTAGCCTAAAGAAAGTGTTTAAAAGTATTGGTTAGGTAAGTTAAGCTAATATCATCACTAGGAAAACCCTTGAGTTTACAGGTAGCGCTTACATATAGTAGCCAAGCCTTGCCTAAAATTAAATTTATAATTGCTGTTTCTAATCAAGGTAAAGCTTTAGTGATTGCTGAACCACAATTAGAACATGATTATTTTTAAGCAAATTTGGTATTTTTAATAATTCAACGTTAAATACTAGACTATTTTAAGAAATGTACTTTGAGGCTCTTATATTCTTTCTAGCTCTGACCCTAGTATCTAGAAAGTAGTCACCTACAGCAAACCCATGGTCACGTCAGCAGAAGCAGCTTGCCTATAAAGTGTTCGCTCTTTCCCTGTTTTTGTTGCCTTCATGGAGGCATTAGGTCCCTCCTTTCTGCATTAGGGGAGCAGAAAATAGCTTTTTCACAAGCTATTTTTGAATAGCCCAAAGACCACTGAAACTGGTGCAATGGCAGATGTGGCTGGTGCATGGTGCTACGGCAGAACGGTTATGTAATCGAAGTGTATTAATACATGGTGATGTGATGAATGCTGTAGCAATTACTGTGCTCTGTGACTATACTACAGCACCGTGAAAGACTCTATTACTCCAGTGACTGTGATAGCACTTTTTTATGTGGTAGTCTTTTTGACATTTTGCTTTCAAGTAGTTGTTAGGAAACATCAGATGCCTAAATCAAGCTATGTAAGGACACTGATTCAGGCATTTAAAATTTTATAGTACGGGGTTTATAACACTACCACAGAATGCTGTGGTACAGGAATCAGATATTGTGTATTTACTGTACAAAACAAATAAAAGTTAATTTTTCTCATTAATAGGATCCGGAAGCTGATGTGGAACCACCAAAAGTCCCCGAACCTAAGCAGGGAATGTATGAACTCTCAGCAGACAATTTCAAGACGCACATAGCGGAAGGTAACTATTGTTTCCTAAGCAAGAGGTACTGGCTTACAGAGACACCAGTAGCGGGAAATCTGCAACAGAAACGGTAGTTTTCAAGGTACCTCCTTCCCACTTTTGTTTTCCAGTAATACCTATTGAAAGAGGATGAAACTACAGATGGTACAGAAGTACAGTAGTTTAATTACATATTGCACACCATGAGAAAGTTTGAGAATGGGATTTCACTTGGAAGGCAGTAAAATTAAGGCCTCTAATCACATGGAAGAAGCTAGTGGGGCTTGCTCAGCTAAACTGTCTCTTTCCATGAGTTCCTTGCTCAGTCACAGCCTTGTGTTTTTACAAGCCCTGTTTCCTCTTTCCCAAGGCACTGGCTTGTTCTTACTCCCAGGCTGCTCTTCTGGCTAAACATCATCCACCCACTTCCTCCTTACTGCCCCCGTCCCACTCCAGTCTGACACCTTATTTGATAATTGTTTAGCTTCCTTCCTCCAGAATTTAATATGGGTGAAACATGTCACCTCAGTTTGGCCATTTTAAAAAAACTTTTGTCTGGAAGCTTTAAAATTAGTGCCAGGAGTGATTGATACCTGACGTGGGAAATTTCACCCCTCACATGGTGGGTTTTTTAGAGAATGAGCGAGATCTTACAATACAAACTTTGGGCTGCCGTAACAACAGAAGATCTTACTATGTCTGTTTTCCTAAAAAAAAAAGCCGTATTGAATTAGCTATCTGTGCCCATGTGATACCACCAGTGAGGTAAACACTAGAGCTGCTTAAAGTAACCGTTAACTAATTAGAAATATTTTCAAGTGTAAAAGAGCATTTTGTGCAGCTAACTTAAAATTTCCCAGCCTGTGTGGCTTAACACAGAATTCCATCAAAATTCTTTATGGATTCTTCTCTAAGCCATCTGTGAGATGCTAAGCATTTAACAACTTTCCAGTCTGAGAAGATAGTTAAGTTTAGTGTGTGTGTAAATGTTTTACTATTTTTGTTTTAATATTTTTGTTTTGTATCCATTGACATTGGTAGAGGAGACGTTCTCATGGTCACATCCGATGGTTGAGCGGGTTGATGATCATCTGTAAAGCTGTTGTCCTCTCTTGACTTCAGTTACAAGAAGTTCAGGACTTAAGTTTAGCAGGAAGCTTAGCAGTTCCAGCTGGAAGGTTGACTTTTGTTCTTAAAAAGTCTCCTTTTGCTTTCTCGGTGCTCTAGGGCAAAAAAGAATTTTAATTTTTTATTCTGTCGGGAAGGAGAGTATATCAGAGTACATGGTATAGAATAGTGGATTTTGACTATTCAATCAGTAGTCAAATCAATAGGTGTTCTTATTCATTCATGAGAAATTTCAGTTTGCAGTTCACTTGACCAAAGCAAAGCATGCCAATCAGTTTGAAAGTGCTCCTCATGCAGCACAGGCAAGTACAGTACTACTGCGGTTTACGTTTCCTGGTTATTTTGTGACGTCTTTCGTCTGACCTCCTTTTGTGAACAAGCCCTCCAACTAGAAATGAATTCTAGTAATATCAGCCCCAAAGTAGTCTTCAAAGGATTATGAATGATTTCGTTAAAAAGAGCATTTCCCAGTTGCTGGCGTTTCCTTCAAATTAATTTGATTTTTTTTCCCCTTGTTTTAGTTAAGCTCATTTTTGTTTCCTAATAACAGCCTTGTCTTGATGCGTACAAAAGCATGCAGCATCTTGAATTAATAGTAATCTTAACTGAAGGAAATTACATATTCTGGTACCCTACAATAATTATATTTTTAAACTAAACATTAGTAGGAGACAGTACAGAGACTCCTTTTGATAAAACACCACAAAAAGGCAGCGATTTCTGAATAATTGGCATGAAAATACAAAGAGCAGGGCAGAAAAAGGAGAGTGGAAAGCTGAACAAAATTATTTAGGTAGTTAATGGACTTAATGCATTGGTGTTTCCCAAGAAATGTTTGAGCTGAAGTCTAATACTTTCATTTATGCTGTTATAAATACATGTTCCTTGGTCGTTCTTACTGCTCTGTAATGAGGCAGTTGACATGGCAGAATTAGACATTGTAGCAAATGGTTACATTTAAAATATAATTTTTAATATCTCATTTGTTGGCTTGAGGTTGTGAAGCTGTTTGGATTTTCAGGAAGATTCGCAGCACTGTGGGACTGCATACAGTATTGAAAACCTAATTGCTGAATATTCTGTTCTGTTCACAGTGTTCCCTGTCTTTAACTCGGGAAATACCATGATAAATTTGCAGTTTGATATTAGTACCTACTCTTTAATTGCAGCCAAATTAATTCCAAATGAGTTTAATTTTTTTTTTCCTTTTTTTTTTTTTTCTTTGGCTTAAAAGGTAATCATTTTATCAAATTCTTTGCCCCTTGGTGTGGTCATTGCAAGGCTTTGGCCTCAGTCTGGGAACAGCTAGCTCAAGCCTTTGAGCATTCGGAAACTGTCAAGATTGGCAAGGTGGGTGAAGTGCTCTTAGTCTGAAAATGTGTTTTGTGTGAATGATTGCTTCAGCCAAGTATCATGCTATTCGTGCTGTGATATGAAGTAACAGTTGTTTTGTCTGTCATCTCTTAAATCCTTTTATAGCAGTAGATCCTATTTTAATTTTGAGGTGGTTATCTTTCTCTTGCACGTCCAGTAGTTCCCTCTGTTTTGAAGAGGTGGCTGTTTGGTTACAGTGACAGGATTCCCTCATTTTAAGCAAGGGCTTGTTAGAAACACAGCTAGCTCCTGGTGCTTCAGAGAGAGTTGTGAATAAGTCTGATACTTCAGATACAGGCAATAATATTTTGAGATTTGTTTTTGATTAGGCTTCCCCTCTGTCAGAACTTGATAGACTTAAGAATTTATTTTGAGTGGGAAAGTGGCTTCGTTTGCTGTTTACATCATTGGATTCTTTAGCAAGTTTCAGGCCTGCAGGTCTCTCTATGATTATTTCTTTTTTTTTTTTCTCTTTTTTTTTTTTCTCTTTACCCCAGTAGAACTTTCTAAAAGTTTCATGGGGTCTTCCACCTCAGAAACTGATATCTTGTCCTGCTTTACTATTTCTCTTAGGGTTGATAACCAGATTCTGTGGTGTATTTACCATGGGAGCTTGTTACTTGTACGTGGAGTGACTTCTGTGCAGAGGTATGGAGGTGGTCTGGCAATTGCAGTTACTGGCTTTATTTGCTGACCCAATACCTAAGTCCAGGTGGCTCATGATGTGAATGGCTCTACGTTTGCCAGCAGTGGAAAACTGACTGGGCTCAGCTTCCATGTCCTTAGCTTTCAGAGTGGTTCCGCTGATCTGAGAGACTGCGTAACAGTTGTCAGGGTTGTTAGTCCTGCAGAGGGACAAAACCCGGCTATCTCCCCTGCCTCTGCCCTCGTAGTGCTTTCAGCTGTTACTAGGATGATGAGTTTGACTTTTTTTTTTACTTCCAATTTCATTTTTAATGCTTAGAAAATCTACTAATTCAGATGCACTGTAGATGTACAGAGCAGGTCAGGATAGCTGAACTTCAGGGAAGACACATATATATAATTTTGAGACCTGGTGGACGTAAAATTAGATTCCCTCTGAGAATAAACTATCAGGGGCTATTGCTCCTTTGATAGTGTCTTTACTAAATGTTGCATCTGCTGATTTACTTTTTGAAATCCTGGAATGCTTGCTGTCAGAAAAAATCATTGCTTAGCTTAAGCATCTTCTTGAAGTTACCGTTTTCTGTTATCCCGAGAAAACAAACGACAAAATTTCAAAATTCCCATTCTATTCAGTTGTCTGTCATGTTCACAGCTACTATTACTGATATTTGCTATTTAATACAGTCACTAAGATTTGTTTCGATGCCTAGTCAATTTTGTGTACCTGTATATGTTATGAAACTATTTGTAACATGTCTTGGCTAGATTGTAAGTCTGTAAGTAAACAGGAAACACAACTGTTTCGAAGAAGGCTGAACCATGACCTTCCTGTAATCTGGGGGAATAGTGTCTTAACAGCAGTGATACCTACTGGCAGAATGCTGTTTAACCTTTAGAACTGATCTGGAGCAAAGTGTTTCTAAGGTAAAATTCAAAATCCAAGTGCTGTGTCGAGCAAAGGCTCCAATGCTTAAGTACCTGTTTTTCTCTGCTTCAGAAAAGTTTGTAAGCTGGTAACTTTACAGATTGGTTTATGACATATTAGAATTGAATGTTGCTTTGCACTTGGAATTTTCCTTGGAGTAAAGTTAACTTGCTAGCTGTTGACATCTCTTCTGAAATCTTTAAAGAGTAGTCTTTTAAAAAATGAGTGAGCCAATATGTCTTCACTTTAAAGCGCTCTCACATTAGCGTTTTGTGTCTTATTGTCCATGCAGTGATTTTATTCACTGAGAATACCAAGTACTTTTTAATTGGAATATTTAATTATGTCTTTTTTGTTCTTTGTAGCTGTTACTGCTTCCTCCTATCCGTACCTCCCTCTCCGATCCCTCCTAAAAAAAACCAACAAACAACATCAAATACACGTATAGCCTCCAAATTACACAACCAAACCACTATCTGGAAGGCAGACATAATTGTTCTCAAGACAGTACTTGGTGATGAGTTTTTCCAAGCCATACATTGCTAGTTTCCTGTATTTTTCTGAGTTCTTAAACACAAGGGAAGCTATGATGCTTAAATAATGTTTATTTTATGCACTGAATGGTTTATATTTTTTTTCAAAATGTAGGTCGACTGTACCCAGCATTATGAAATCTGCTCTGAAGCCCAAGTTCGTGGCTATCCCACACTTCTCTGGTTTAGGAGTGGTGAAAAGGTGAGTCTGCAAGCTCAGCAAAAGGTCAGACCATTTTTTTCTGAATAATACTCAGACTGTGTTTGCATTCTGGGGAAAAAAGATCAAGTGGGCATATAGGAAAGTCTGCATGTGAGACAAAAGGATGTTGGAGGTTCAGTCTGCTACTGGAAGAGGCATGCTTCATCCACAGATTAAAGTTAGAGCTTTTTGCTCTTTGTGCTCTGCAAATAACCAGGATGATGTTCATAAATCTGTAAGCAGCATTTCAGTTATGCCACTGTGTAAGAAAATTCTGGGTGTACTTTATCTTAATACCTTGCCTCCTGTGGAACACAAAAAAACAGATGAAATAGAAATAATAAAAAATTATGTAATTTTAACAGTGTGTATCAGAAGGTTCTAATCTGTAAGTGGAGTCTATTGCTGAGTGATGCAAGTTTTCCTTATAAATCTGAACACTTCATACTGCACTGTGAGTAAGAGTCCTGTGGGCCCAGCTGACTTTTTTCCTTGTAGCAATTCAGAGAATGACAATATTCTGAAGTTAGGCGGAAGTAAAATATTTATGAAGACCATGTACATGAACAGCAGCAAATAAGCATAAATGGTAGTGTTACTTGTCATATGTTTCACACTTTCTAGATAAATTAAATGTATTAAATAGATATTAAGAATACGTCTGCAAGCAGAGGATCCAGGAGTCCTCTTTCAGCTCTTACCCACTAAGGTTTTTGAGGTAGTGCTCAAGTCACATGGTGGCATGTCCAAGGTTAGAGGTGTTTTCAGTTAATTAAACTTTTGTCTCTATATGGTGTGAGTCTGAAGAATAGGAAGTGTTCTGCTGTTTCTCCAGAATGGTTTTCCACGTGCTTTATTTTTATCTTTCAGATAGCTACAAATGGCTAGATGCCTTGCTAGAACCGTACTATCTTGATCTAGAAAAGGTAGCTGTGGCTTTTCTCGACAAGCCAGATAAATTTTTTTATTTTGACCCTTTGTAATTATTGAAGTTTGAGTTGCTCGGACTTACTTGAATCAAGAGTGTGGTGAAAGAAAAAGTCAGATCACTGCTGTTATATTTGGTAAAGCTGAATCTCAGCCATTAGTCTGAACAATGTATTCCTGTTGACATCAAACTGGCTTTTCTCCATTGGCAGTGTGGTATTCCCTGGTGGTGTACTGCCACCAGAATTGCATATTCCTTTGCGGGCTGATACGATATATTTAAAAAAAACACAAACCAAGCCCAACAACTTTCCAATAATCTGATCCAGAAATTCTTGGAAATCTCTCTGGCAGCTATTCTACTGTTTAGTAAGTGGGGGGGAGGAGGAGGAGAACTGGAGAACTGCTTCAGCCATCCAGCATTGTTGTCCGTAATACCATCATCCCCTTTGTCATAACTGAAGTCTGGCACGACGCCACCCCTCTTGGTGAGATGCAGCAGAAGCCCTGGGAGCAATGACCCTGCCCTGCTGAAATGGATACAAACAAGCAGGTACAGGGTTCTGGCGTCATTGTAGATCAATTCCTTTGTGATTTAGACCCGGTGTGGGGAAGGTGGCTATAGTTACAAGTAACATTATGAATGACAAAAGAAGGAAAATGTGTAGTAAGCGTTCCAAAGATACAGGAAACAATTGCAAAGGCATCTGTTCTTCCTTCCAACGTGTGGAAGATTGTATGCTGTTTCTTGAAGAGTTACTCCTCATCTGAGAGAGATGATACATCTTGTAGCCCACCCTTCATAGGGCCGAAACACGAAAGAGTTTTATCCAAAATGGATGTGTAGTGTCTCGAAGAGATGATCTCTTTTGAACAGAGAAATCAGTACTAATTTTTGCCGAGAGCGCTGAGGGCAATCATGCAAGACCCAGTTTGGAGGTGGCCAGCAGTGGTTTTGAGGCTAGAAACTGCTCGGAGGTGCTCTGATTTCTTGTTCTCTAGAGCTGTGAAAGGACCCGAGATATGGGGAAGCATCCAAGGCAAACTGGCTTCTCGAAGATCTGGCTGGTTGAGGGCTTTACTTGCGTGTTCAAAAATGTGACTGAACTTATGTGAGAGCGGTGACACGGGATATTCCTGCCCCGCAGCAGGCAGTGGTTGTCTCTTGCTCCCTAGTGAACTTAGGCACCCAGAGAGCATTGCCTCACTGTTTGGGTTTTCCGAGGATGTATGCCAAGCGTGTGGGCCAGAGGAGCATCCATGTAGTCAGGTGACGTGCAGGTCAAGTCTTTCAGCCCTGTCAAAGCACTGTACAGAGCTTTGATGATAACAGAGACCACCACCAAACAGCGATGAGTATTTTATTGTTCCTTGTGGTAGCTTTAGGTTCAAAAAAATCAAACCTTGAAAATGCTGACTAGAGTGAGAGATGAAGGTCAGAGTGGAAAAGTTTCTAAAATTTGCTTTACACTTCTAAAATACCTTTAATTTCAAGGAAATTTTAGATTCTTCCCTTTTGGTACAGAAGAATCTGTGGCAAATGCTGAAGATGTGGCATGAAGGAAATGCCATGGAGAGGTTTAACAACTAGATAATCGTATTTATTATGAATATGCTTACACTTGGCAATCTTAGTTTTGCTGATAATTATTTATTTGCTAATTATTTATTTGCTAAATTAACTGCATATACACACTCGCACAAACTATTTGATAATTGTAGGGTGACCAGTACAAAGGGAAGAGGGACTTCGATTCCTTAAAGGAATATGTGGATTCCCAGCTGCAGAGCTCTGGGAAAGAGCCACCAGCAGATAAACCCACCGAAGCCCCGCAGCCACCCCCAGAACCCACCCGTGTTGAGGTAAGTGCTCCTGCACTCTGCAGCGGTGTTGGAAACCTTCAGACTGTTCCAGCAACCTGTCCAGGTCTTCCATGTGTTTCTGTCTCCCTGATGGCTTCACAATTTCTACCTGTAAACTGTACCAAATACTTTCCTGATTATTTTTCTAGTAATTAATGGGTGGAATCACAGAATCACAGACTGTTAGAGGTTGGAAGGGATCTCTGTGGGTCAACTAGTGCAACCCCCCTGCTGAAGAAGAGTCACCTAGAACAGGCTGCACAGGACCTTGTCCAAGCAGGTCTTGAATATCTCCATAGAAGGAGAATCCACAACCTCTCTGGGCAACCTATTCCAGTGCTCCATTCACCTTCAGAGTGAAGAAGTTCTTCCTCATGTTCAGGTGGAACTTCCTATGCCTCAGTTTGTGCCCATTGCCCCTTGTCCTGTCACTGGCCACCACTGAAAAGAGTTTGGCCCCATCCTCTTGACACCCACCCTTGAGATATTTATAAGCATTTCTAAGATCCCCTCTCAGCCTTCTCTTCTCCAGACTAAACAAGGCCAGCTCCCACAGCCTTTCCTCATAGGACAGATGCTCCAGTCCCCTCACCATCCTCGTAGCCCTCCGCTGGACTCTCTCCAGTAGCTCCTCATCTTTCTTGAACTGGGGAGCCCAGAACTGGGCACAGTACTCCAGATGGGGCCTCCTTAGGGCAGAGTAGACTATGAGACTATAAGAGTAGACTATAGACTGTATATAATCAGATTATAAGTCCTAGTTTACTAACCTGATGCATTTTGAGAGGGGAAAAAAATAGAGTGGCATATAGGTGGTCTTTTTTGGTCTGTAGAACTGCTGGCACCTCAGTCTGTATGACAGCATATTTGTCACTATGGAGATGAATGTTTCTTAGAAGATTCTCACTTTAACCCAGGAGGATGGCACATGCTGCAAAGCCACTAAAAAAAGCCAGGGTCCTATACTTACAGACTTATCTGCAGAAGCAACAAACAAGCAAAGATTATGAAGACTGATCTAAATGTGGCAACGTTATGTGTCCTGTGGCAAGAACACTCTTCGGGTTTGGAAGCTTATTCTAATCCAGGTTGTAGGAGCTAGAAGGGTGATGAATGTTGCCAGAGAATTGGCAGGACTAGCTTTATCACCTTTGCGTAGTTGTACTTCATGTCATTTAGTTTTCTGTCTTTTTTAAATCATTTTGGCCTTTCATCTGCCTTTTTTTTTTTCTTTTGAAGCTGAATCTAAAACAGGTGAGGTTGAGCGATTAGGAATGGTTTTCCAGAATACTTTATCATCAAATGAGGAGAAAACACTTCTGCCCAGAAAATAAAGGATGGTAATTTACACTCCTTTGTGGTGTAGAATGAACTTATGTATTTTAAAAGTATTAATATTACGACTATAAATACAGTTTATATGCAGCTTCTCACAGGTGAACATACCTTCCCGTTTGAGTTTTTCAGCAGGGTTACTCATTTTACGTAAAATGGCTTACCAGAAGTGATGCTTGATTAGCGATTTTTGTACCCCTCAATTTTTTTTTTTTTTAATTGACCTCATATTTGGAAGATGCCAACAAGCTGGTGTTGGTAAAATGCAGAAAGTAACCAGTTGTCTTTCTGTTTTTAGAGAAATGACATAAACCACCTGTGATGCAAATTCCCACTTATGCCTTGCTTGTACCAGCACACACACGAATAGGGAAGGATTGTGGGGGGATTTTTTTGCCAAATAATAGTAGACACAGTAGAAGTCTAAAGTTTGTCTTTGCAACTTTACATCGCAGCTTTCGTTGCCACCATTTCTTGGTCACTCATCTTTCAGACACCTTGGTTCTGGTGGCGTTCTCACAAGTTTTGAAGCAAGGGGGTAGCCCATGTAACCAGCAAACGCTGCCTGCAGTTACCGTCAGCAGCCCCCAGTTGGTACCACGGGCAGCAAAAGCAACGAGTTCCACCTCAAATTTGTGTCCCACTGTTCAGCCCTTTCATGGAAGCTGTACTTTTATGTCCGTGAGACTTCTCTCCTGCCCAACATCACTAAAATTGCTCTAAAATGATCCACGTGGATTAAGGCAGAGTGACCAGCAGATGCTCGGGTTATGTGACTGCATAGCTCAGATTCTGTAATTGCACAAGATGTATTTTCTTAAGAAATCAAGCTAAAATTGAGCTGATACTAAACTTATTTTTGTGGTTATATAGTTCACGTTGCTATTCTGATAGTAACCTATGTATCTTTAAAATTCGTTTTACTGTGTGGATCGTGGGGAGGACATTATTTATGGGCTTTTCAGATTTGGTGTCTTAGATTGTAAATGATGTTTGGCACATCTGTTTTAGATGTCCATGTAGGAAATTCAGAATAGAAGAGTACATATTTACTGTTAATCTTTTTCTTCATTTGATAATTTGTAATTCTTAATTAAAAGCATAATTTCTAATTTGCAAATAATTTTCAGAGGGGATAACACTTGAACTTAATGGAGTAAATTAATTTCATTAACTAACATTTACAGTAAAGGTACCTTTAATTTGTAATTTCAAGTTTCTTTTTGGCTTCTAGTCATAAAACTCTGAGTTTTAACTAGAATTGGTAATACTGCCAGTTGAGCTCTTGTTTTATTTTGCTTTCATTTGAATTTGAAGCTTTTATAGGCATGAGATTTATTTATTTATTTTGACTACCTCCTACCCTTAAGGGTCTCATACAAAACAAATGAAGCTTGTTACAGTTCTGTGCTCTCATGGGATGTTTGGGACTGTCAGTAGGCAGCGTGCTGTCCTCCCATCACTCCGATGCCATTGCTCCTGATCTTATCAGCAGTAAAAATTCTTTCGGCGTCCATGCGAGTGTGGCGTGGCAATGTCCTCTTGACAGGCAAATATGTATTTCTGGTAAGAGCTTTTCCTGTGTGTGTAGCGCAGGGATATAGCAGAGGGAGAACAGCTGCCAAGACATCACTACTGTGCCTTAAATACCTAATTAAACTGTCAGATGGCCATTACGTGCTTTAAGCCAACTCCTCTCAGGGTGGTTCCTTGAAACATTTGCATGACAGTGTATTAAAATGAAGGCAATTTTTTCCAACATCTAGAAATCTGGATACAGACAAATCCCCAGAATATAGGGGTGGTTTGTTTCTCCAATTATGGATGAGATTGAGCGTGAAATATGCATTTCTCTCCATCTCACTAGGGGAGGAAAGCAGCTGAGGGCTAAAAATTAGGTGTGCTGTGGCTACTCTTCTTTATATTATCAATAATATTCTTTTTTCTAGTTTGATTTTTCCCTTTCAGGTGGCTAAGAGTTCGTTTGGCCGATGTTATACATACAGAAAGTTTTGACTCTATTTTACTTTTTTTTTTTTTTTTTTTTTTTTAAAAGGCTGCAGGGCTCTCC